TAAAGTATTCTTGTACCCAAGTATTATTTTGTCGCAAATGAAAACACTAAAATCGCGTACAAGAATGGTCAATTCTCAAGTCTTTATCGTTTTCACGATTTTTTTATGCACCTCTAATGTTTCGATATGTAATATATTCATGAAGTAGCGCGGAACGATAGTCATAAATGCGAAATTATTCGAGTTTCGTGAAGCGCAAACATTCTGAGATTTCAGCAATTGAAAATAATGTACTTCTCTCAACTAAATATGGTCTACATATTGAGAAATTTTCCTCTCAGCGCAGATGATCGTTCTGCAAACTGAAAGGATTCTCAACAAAAGAAGTCTCTTGACATTTCCTCTCAAAATAATTCATGTTGAGGCATGTCGAACAAACCATGTATTCAACAACGTACGAGGAATGGCCTCGTTACCTCTTCCATACTGAAACGCCACTGATGACGAAAAAAAATTATTGATCCTTCCAACCCCAATTATACCCCAATCCTTCCGCCACAAATAACGAAACGATCACCAGAAACGTAATTCCAACGACACCTTCAAAACCTCTCCCCAAACAATCCACTTTCCTTCACAAATGCGGAAAAAAAATCTCGATATTTCCTTTCACTCTATGTATCAGTTACCCGATACAACTGAAGGAAAATATCGCTGGAAAGGTCATCGAGGTCAGCACACGATACGTTAAGCTCCACTGCTTTCGGAGAATACGAAAATTGAGTAACAACAGTAGCCCGAAGATAATGAACAAGAAATCCGATAAATTAGACACGTGTGATATCCGCTCCTCGCAGCAATCACACCAAAGAGGCTATCCTCTTTGGATCATACTTTCTAGCAACGTTCTAAGGCCAATGCGTCATCAGAGCATCATTACACTCCAACTTACCCGCGACCTAGTTAAGGATATCCAAGTAGTTCAGGCCATTTTTTCTGGGGGAAATCCTCGTCAGAGTTTATAGATTGGACCAAGAGTATTTTTAGACGCAATATCAACTTCGGTATTGACGCAATATCAATCATTCTCCCGAAAAAATGTTCGAAACAGTATTTTTCCGGCCTGTTGCGATGGGGTTTTTTACTCGTGTGGCGTTGGCCTCCGAGCCGTAGGCGAGGACTGGCCAACCACACGAGTAAAAAAACCCCATCGCAACAGCCCAGGAACAATATTTTTCTGTAGTGATTTTCAAGTTTTCGAGTTTGGGAAGTATGTAATACCAATTCCCAGACGAGAAATCGTGACAAGCAGTACAGGAAACATTTTTTCGGTAGAATTATTTTTGAAAAAGGGAAATTTAACACATAGCGTCCATAAGAGCTGCATACTCCCACCTTCAATCCAATAGTTCATAGTAGAAATGCAAATGCATCACATGACCCGTCATATGACGGTCATGTGACCGTCATCGACTTCATTGACGAGGCATTCATGACGGCTGTCACAATTCCCCCTTCCCCTTCTGTGACCGTCACAATTTGTCAAGAAAAAATGACAGTCATTTTTCATCTATATAGATGAAACTTTATTTTTTTCTCGGTCAAATTTCAGTTGAATTCCTTTTGTATTGGCCTAATCCGCATTTTGAAATGGAAATCACGTTTTTTTTCCATCCATATAGATGAAACTATTTTATTTTATTCATGACCGTCACAAATTGGAAATTAGTTATGACCGTCATTATGCAACTATATAGATGGTTTGATAATAATTTGGTTACAAATGATTTGTGACAATCATTTGTAGTTGGAAAATTTGTGCGTCACATGACCGTCATTTTTTGGTCATATGACGTCATCTTGCATCTCTAGTTCATAGTCGTATGGGAAATGGAACCCCTGTGTCCATATGAACTTTTAGAATTGTGTTTTCTTCTGCAATTATTATTTTTTATTCATTAAATTACTTCATTGACTCAACAATGCGACAATCGAGTCGATAACGTAATTTCATAGATAGAAATTAATAATTGTAGGAGAAAACACAATTCTAAGATTTGATATAGACAAAGGGGTTCCGTCTCCCCTTAAGGAATTTATGGCGTTGTCTCAAGAGAAAAAAAGAATCAAGATATTGATATTTTTTTGTAAATACGTTCTTTTGTGTATTAAGGAATCACGTGCAAAATCTCAGATAGCCTAGGAGAAGGACAACAACGGAAATAATTTTTGAAGTTGCTATTTATGTATGCAGTTGAATGGGGCATCGATAATTTCAGCAGTGTTCCCATGTTGCCGACAGGTCGATAATGTAGGGAAAACGCTGAAATTATCGATGCCCCATTTAATCTCATGCATAAATTGCAACTTTATAAATTATTTTCGTTGTTGTCTTTCTCCGAGGCTATCTGAGATTTTGCACGTGGTTTCTTTATACATAAAAGAACGTATTTACAAAAAATTATCAATATCTTGACTGTTTTTTTTCTCTGAAGACAACGCTATAAATTCCTCAAGGGGTAACAGAGTGGTGCTAATTTTCCAAATTTTTGAACAAATTTCCTGCCGAAAGTTATTGATATTTTTACAAATCGAAGCACATTAATCTCCAAGAGAAGATTATGAAGATCAATATGCTTTGGGTTCGAAAAATATTAATAACTTTGAGCAGGAAATTTGTTTGAAAATTTCCGGGGAACGTTGGCCTTTTGTTACTCCTTAAGGTGTTTTGTGTGTAGATCACCGGGGGTGAAACGGAAGGGGAGTCTTATTCGCGATCGCAACATAGATGAGCCATCAAGAGGTCTCTAAACTAACTACTCTTGGGGGCCAACCAATGAGATCACCTACAGGTGTCAAATAATTTTGATTGGATGTTTTTCTAATTATTGAAATAATATTAAGAGATTTATGGGGTAATCAAGGAGGGGTCGAAAAAAAGTCAAGAAATTGATTTTTTTTTTAATACATTTTTTGTTTTTTTCAAAAGTTCTGCGCAAAATCACAGATGGCCTAGGAGAATGGGCGAAACACTGGAATTTTTCTAAAAAATGCATTTTAGCACGGGCTCTTATGGGAATTCGAAAAAAAAATATTAAAAATAGAAAAAAAAGTCATGGAGGAACATAAAAAAAATAATCCAAGGGGCCTATGAGAATTGTTTAAAAGGGATAATTAAAACATTCAAAAATAGGAATTCTGCGTGCGCAACTTGGAATAGCGACAACATCGAGATTAGAAATCGTGGAGGGGTAAGCACGACAAATACGAATGGAGTTGTGATGATACACTTCGTTATGGGTAGGAACAGGTGAGTGAATCAGTGCTGCCAACTTGTATCTCGACCGGCACAACGTTGTCACTATTTCGATCCATATTAATGATTTTCCAATTATCCAAAAGACAACTAATTAGAAAATTAAAAGAAGGCCTGAAATATATGGGAACAAATAGAAAAATTATTAAAAAAATATTTCGAACACAAAAATGGTCGAAAGAGATTGAAAATTTGTCATTGAAATATCGTTTTTTTGTTCAGCGATTGGTTTCCTGCGAGAGAACAATAGATTCCCCTCCGTTTCACCGCCTATTTGCTCATCCCGTCATAAATATCTTAAGGATGTCTATACAAAATCACAAGTACTTAAAAAAAAAGATTTTTTTCAACTGAGAGATGAAGATATTCCCTTCACTTTGATACAAATTTCAATCCACCAACACATGTTCATTATTTAGAAATGAAATAGACAAAATGCACCAAATGCATGCGCTAACATGCGCTTATATGGGATAGAATCATTCAAATATTTCCTCTTTTTGCCCGGGTACTCTAGATTTTTCTCTGGCCATTGGATTCAGTATGATTTTACACATTACCATCTATTTTATTTTTAGAGTCTTCTAGTGGGTGAATTATCAATTTGAACATAAATTTCACAAGAGCCCGTGTATAACGAAAAATTAATTTATTCATGTCTGCCGAGACTATTGCGATTAATTTTTTTTAACGTTAGAAAAGTTATTTTTATTTTCTGCTGTTAGCCGAAAAAATTACAGAATTTTGCTTGACTATGAAAATAACCACATTTACTTGAAATTTACTTGAAACTCAATTACTGAATTAATTAATTTTACTGAATTAAATTTACTTGAAAAGGAAATCTAAAAAAGTTCACGGAATATTCATAGATAATTCAATTGTGGTTATTACATTCAATATGAATTCCAGATGAACGTCATTATTTACCTTTTTCGCACGAGACGTCGTAAACAACCCCAGAAGGCATGCCTACATGCACCCCAATCCACCGCAACTAAAACATTGCTTTTATTATCCTCAATTCCGGAATTTTCGACCTGGTCATTTTTCTTTTTTACGCAGATAGCGATCCTCGAGGACAGATGAGACGGAGAAGTCCTGCAACAAAGCAGCAGCGAACAGCAAGGGGGGGAAACCCAGGTGGATTCACTGTAGGGTCCTCTCCCCCTCTTTTTTTACAATGCACAACCCCTCTTATGGGTTCGTGACCATGCTGCGCCATTCGAGGGGGGTTGTACATCGTAGTAAGACAGAGGGAGCGAGAATAACCGAGGGTATACGAAATTCAAAGGCAACAGAGGTAGACCGCTGCACGTCCCCCCCCCTCTACACGTCTCGCAAGAATAGAGTTCTCTCTACTACGGTCTCTCCAGTACTTAGTCAGACGCCGCATCGTATACTTCGTTCTTTTAGGATCAACATTGGCAGTTATTATTTTTTAATATTTATCGCTCGTGTTATCGTCGCTTCAATTGTGCAAGTTATCCTTCGACATTTTAATGTGGATGTTTTGTCAGTTTGAATGAGTGTTGGATTCTAGTTGGGGTCATGTGAGAGGGGAGATTATATATGAACAATGGGATGTCATCGTGGAGGGCGCAATCGGTGGTTGGATACATTTTCTCGTGATTTTTGAATGGAAGTTTTTCGTTTTTTGAGGAGTTTTGATAAGGTAATATTGGATTATGGGGTTTAAAAGTAAGAAACACCTTTTGTCTATGTGAACACTTTAATTGAAAAATCTCAAAGACTACACAGTCAAGAGGCACTTCACAGTATGAATATCTACGAGAGATTAAAAAATAGTTGCTAGTAAGGCCCAGGGTTAATATAGACCTAGGAGGGCAATATAATTTCCACCCCCTAAAGAAACGCTCGGTCGCCAGGTGTATTTGCGGGAAAAACCCATCAGTAAAAGTCCCGAAAGGACTTTTCCCCATTTTACAATCTCAAGGAGGACCCCACAGCAATATGAAGCAATAAACCTTTCTTTAACATAAAATAACTTGGTAGAGTGAATTTTGGTCTCGGGGAAATCCAACAGGTAATTATCGGTTTTTATTCATATTACTAAAATACTAAAATTCAGTTTTCATTTCGTGTTACGAAAATAATGACAATGCTAATGAATTTAAATAGAGAATCGCGTGTATAACATTTTTATTGGGTTTTCTGATATCTACTTCGGAATGGAATTTCATCATTTAGTTGATAAAATCCAGATTAACTTTGGAGTAGTAAAGGTGCGGGTTGACCCAGTCCAATTATTTTCTTGTTTATCACGAGTGATAAAGATCAACGTCAGCCCACGTGGCCCCCCGGCAAAAGCCCAAACAAAACCCGCATCTCAATAAACTGCAAGCCAACATCATAATTTCAAAGTGTAACAAGCACATACCTGTGATGTGATTTCCTATTTCACACGACGAGAGACCACTCATGACTTATGAGTAATTTTAGCGTTGTGTACACATTAGTGACGTAATGTTTGAGCTCCGGCGTTTTCATCCTGTCAAGAGTTGTTATTTTTCCATCGAAAACTGTATTTCCTTGTATCACTTCGAGTCTCTCGAGTCGTCATTGACGATTTGATCCACACGGGGGATTAAAAATATCCGCAAGAGAGATTAAGCCCGAGATCTTAATACACTCTGGTCATCCTCATGTCTGTTTTGGTTTATACACCAGGGAAAATCAAACATACATTCGCGGTATTTGAGGATGAGAATGCGCAATGGATTGAGTGGATGGAGAGAATGATTTTCATTGAAAACCATTCGAAGTTGTGATAACCACGCGAAGCGTGCCTAAAAAATAGCTGTTTAGGCACGCTTTGCGTGCCTAAAACGTCCCTTTTCCGCACACTGTGATGAAAAATATCGTTCGATACTCGTGGGAAAAGTGTTTTTTGGCTCGTGGGAGGTTTATAGCACGAGCCGAAGGCGAGTGGCTATAAAAACGAGTGCGGAAAAGTGTTTTTTCGCGAGTGCGAAAAACACTTTTCCGCACTCGTAACGAAATATGCTAGTATGCCACACGGCGATAAAAGTATTATCTGACAAATGTGATTATAAAGCCACATTCGCCAGATAATACTTTTATCACCTGATGATATAATCTACTATTATGCCACTCAGGCCTGAAACCGGCTGGATTACACACTCGACGCTTCGCGTCTCGTGTCTAATTCAGCCGGTTTCAGGCTTCGTGACATAAAATTTTGTTCAGTACTTGTTGGGAAATTTCGTCCTTAACGTGTGTGGTTACATCACTCGCCTTCGGCTCATGCTGTAAACCCCACACACGTTAAAGACGAAATTGCCCCACACGTGCTGAAATATACTATTTGACACTGCCGCTACGTTCACCTCGTACCGGAATAGTATATTTCGGAACGAGTGCAAAAAAGTGTTTTTTGGCGAGTGGGAGGTTTATATCACGAGCCGAAGGCGAGTGATATAATCCCACGAGCTAAAAAACATTTTTTCACGAGTTACGAACAATATTTTTCATCACAATGTGGCGGAAATTGGACTTTTAGGCACGCGGAGCGTGCCGAAAAGTTCACTTTTCGTCGCAGCGTGATGAAAATTGCCTTTTCGTTTACTCGGATCACTGTAAAAATAGTATTTTTCCGGCCTGTTGCGATGGGGTTTTTTACTCGTGTGGCGTTGGCCTCCGAGCCGTAGGCGAGGACTGGCCAACCACACGAGTAAAAAAACCCCATCGCAACAGCCCTGGAACAATAGTTTTCTGTAGTGATTTTCAAGTTTTCGAGTTTGGGAAATATCTAATACCAATTCCCAGACGAGAAATCGTGAGAAGCAGTACAGAAATAATACTTTTATCGCCGCCTGACATACGATATACTGAAAACCGCCGCGATCTAACCGCGCGAAGCGAGGTTAGAAATGCGGTTCGTCGGGCCTGTGCCATAAGTGAAATTACCACATCGGATATTGAAATAGTTTAGCATACACTGTTGAAGATTTACTCCTGGAATTTCAAGCAAAAAATTTTGAGATTTTTAACAACGACTAGTGTGGATGTCCTAGATTTCGCATAGGCAATTCCCATGGAAATAACACGTTTGATAACTGGGCCTTTTAGATGGCTGATAGCAGGGACCTGAAGCTCCTCGTGGAACGATATTAGAACCGGAAATTAGTATATCTGGTTTTTTTAATTAAATATTTGTATTCTGTATTGGCATACTCGGAAATTAGGGTGAAGTCTATTAAGACCATATGTCAGTGAATATAATTGAATATAAAATTATTGTTTCGATTGTTTCTTTTTGTAAAATGTTGAGTGTTTCGGCCATTATATTCGATCAGATAGAGGAAAGAACGGGAACAACAATGAGGAAATGATAAAATAAATAAAAATAAAGAAAACTCCGTGAAGCATGAAGTCACTGCACAATGCTTCGAATACACAAAGCATTCCTCTTCAGATGCACGAATTTATTTACTACCAGGGAAAAAAATGAAAAAACCATGGAAAAGCTACTGTCACACAGCCGGAGGAAATATACAAAGGAAAAAATTAATTTGACAAGGATTACTTCATCATCTATATAACGAAGAAAAATTGACATAAATTATTAAAAAATGGGAAAATTCAGACAATACTCGATTCTGAATTTTCAATCCATTTAAAATTCGATTAAAAATGATGTGCAATTTTCACAATGAGGTTGATAATTTTTTTTAGCAACTTTAATATTAAAAAAATTTACAAAATATATATTTTTTTTAATTCGAGATTTTTTACCATTTTTGATTTAAAAAAAATATACAAAAGAATATATATTAAAAAAAAAATTAAAGTTCCTAAAAAATTCAAACAGTGCAGGGGCGAGAGGGGTAAAATGAACCGTTGAAATTCAATGATTTTTCTCCATTTGAAAGGTATTCTTTTAGGCCTTGAATGAAACTTGATAATTTCACTCTAGAAAATTCACTCTAGAAAATTTTTGACTCAAATTTCCCGTATACTTCTTAGAAATTTTCAAGGAATTGCGGAATTGAGTATTCAAAATTTGATGAAAAATTCAATGAAAGCATTTCATTTCAATTATTTCAGTTTTCTCTCTCTTTTTTTTTCATTTAAAGTCGCATCAACAGCTAGTTTCTTAGGGACTTTTGAAATTTGGTGCATTTACATTTACTTGAATTTTGTACAACTGTTTCATGATTAGGGGAGGATGGGGTAAAATGGACACTTTGGACTTTTTTAAAATTACTCATAACTCAGAGATAAATTCATCAATTGAGCTCAGTTTAGGCTCATTACAAAGGGAAAGAAATGTTCTTTGCGTTGAAAAAAAAAACTATTGAATTTCGTCAACATTTCAAGCTGCTTTAATATTTGAAAAAAAGTAAAAAGTGTCCAAATTATATTAGATGGTATATGTTCATAAGTTTCATTAGTTTCAACACTTTTTTAATAATTTTCATCACGCTGTGACGAAAAGTGATCAAAAATATTGTTCGTAACTCGTGAAAAAATGTTTTTTAGCTCGTGGGATTGTATCACTCACCTTCGGCTCGTGATATAAACCTCCCACTCGTCAAAAAACCCTTTAATATACTATTCTTTATCGTTTAGGTCCTTTTATCCTTTTTCGATTTCTTTCTGGGTGTTCAAGTTTCTTCTTTCGTTGGAGTATGTTGGGCAGTTTATCAGGGCGTGCTTTTTCGCTTTATTTTTTACACTTATTCCTTATGTTCTTTTTCCAATTTCAGTTGTTTATATTGACATTTAATTCTTGATCTTTTTATCTTTATTCACCAAGTCAAATGGTACGTAGGAAATAATAAAAATGAACAAGTTTATCCCCCTGTTGTCAGAGGGGAGAAACTCTATCCCTTTATTAAGTCAATAGAATAAAAAACGGAAAATGTAGCGGGGGGTTGTCTCGTCCCAACACCGCCCCAAAATTATTGATTTTTTTTGTTGCTCCTCGTCACTTTCATCATTCACGTGGTACGGACAGGTGCGTAGGGGGTGGAAATGAATCATACGTGTGTTGATATTAATCAAACGGGTGCATTGTTTCTACTGGGGAATCAACAACAGCATGGTTTACACGCTACGTCAACCACCGAACTCTTCGAGTTGTACTGGATAGACGTGTGGACTCTATAAATCGTGGTTGTAATAATATTTGAACGTTACCACGTTTATTTCCGACGGTTTTCGGAGTGAGAAACACACCCGTCAGACGTTTCTCTTCATGTCAGCATTCCATGTACAAATTTGAATTTCCAACGTTTTCATTAGTCATGTATTTCACTTGTTAATTTGTTCTGTCATTAAGGAAACTATTCGTTCGTATCTTTCGTTGATCGTTGCCTTGACGATAAGAATTCTCCCAAAACTTTCAATCAATGATGGATAATAGTTTTTAATTTACGGACGGAGTTGAACGAACTCTCAGGAAGATGGGGGAAAAAATCCTTTAATTGGGTTTCTTGCGACTTAATGAAGGAAAATAGACCTTTTCCCTTGTAGAGACCGGAAATTTCCATGGCTCCATTGGTGTAACGATCGACCCCAATTTCTTAGTTTGCGATAGAGCTAAGTTCAGTTTTCGGTGCGGCCCTTGATTTCAACACGGAATTCCAATTCAACGTTACGGCTTTTCGGTTTGTTTTATCAGTTTTAATTCTCCCTGTCGTCTTATCGATGCCTTGGACGTGTATCTTATCGGTAGATCCCGTTATCCTGATAAGACTGACATTTTCTACACGAAGAGAATTAAATAATAAACATTATCATGCCTTAGGAGAGATTACTATGGTGACATAGTAAAATGATTTTTACCTACGCGGAGCGAATTAACTAGTAAACATTACCATGGTCATAGGAGAGATTACTATGGGAACATAGTAAAAGGATTTTCAACTATTCCTACATAGTAATCTTTACTATGTCACATACACGGAGCGAATTAAATAGTAGACATTACCATGGCTATAGGAGAGATTACTATGGGAACATAGTAAAAGGATTTTCAACTATTCCTACATAGTAATC